AACATTTAAATCCAAGCACTCACTTTGACCATTAAAAAAAAAAAATCACAATAAGTAAGGCAAGAATACTTACTTAATGTATTAGTTTTGTATTGGCTATGCCAAGATTAATTAACTGTAAGATATACTTTTATGTTAGTAATAAGTTGATCTGTTATACTGTTGTTATAAGGTAGTTAAAAATTGGAGGATATCTATCAATTAAAAATTAAGTTCAAAAAGTTGATCTTGCCAGGTGTGGTAGGGTATGCCTGTAATTCTAGAACTTGGGAGGCTGAGGCAGAAGGTTTGCTGTGAGTTCGAGGGCTACATAGAGAGTTTAAGGCCAGCCTGAACTACATCTTGAGACCCTGTCTCAAAAAAAAAAAAAAAAAAAGAAAGTTGACTTTAAATTGAGCATGGTGGCTTAGGCCTATAATCCCAACTCTTGGGGAGGGAAAGCTAGGAGGATCACAAATTTAAGTCCAGTCTGGCCAACTTAGCAAGACCTTGTCACAGAAAAAAAGGCTGGGTTTGTAGCTTAGTGTTAGAAGCACTGAATCCAACCTGTAATACCATCAAAAATTTAAAAAGTTCAGATCAAGTACTATTGGAATAGTACTGGGTATCAAACTCAGGACTTTGTCCTTGCCAGGCAGGCCCTTGTGCCGCTGAGTATATCCCGATCCTTTTAGTGGATCCAATAATGCATATTTACGTGCAACGTAATACATGTATAGTTGGGGAGGCAGAGGGAATCAAAGAAAAAATTTTGCTTTGGTCTTGGAAATCATTACAAGACCTATAAAGAGTTCATTCTTACCTATCCCATGCTACCCAAGTCCCTTTTAAGATATAGTTGTTTTAGCCAGGTGTAGTAGCATACACTTGTAATCCCAGCACTTGAGAGGCTGAGGCAGGAGGATCCTTGCAAATTTGGGGCTACAAAGTTAGCTCAAGGCCAGCCTGAGATGCGTAGTGAGACCTTGTCTCAAAAAAAAAAAAAAAAAAAAAAAGATATACTTGTTTTGAATGAAAGAATTTTGAAGAAAATTCACTTATTCTCCATCCCCTTTAAAAGGGAGAACAGGTGACAAGAATTTTCAGTATCCTTGGTGATGAACTTACCTAGGCTTTCTTGTGTTTTAGAATCTCAGTTTTCACTTGCTTCTCTGTGGTATTTAGGAATAACAGCCTAAAATATAAACATTAAAATAATCATCATGAGGCATTATTGGTCTAAACAGGGATGAAAATGATGTGGCTGTGTTACAAGTTTTCACTTGTTAGAGGCACAGACAGACTTCATTTAGAAGTGAAATGATGTCTGGGATTTCCTCTGCAATAATGTTTTCAGCACACATGAATACACACATAGAGTGGGATGGAGCTAAAAGATCTAAGAATGGTTTTAAGGTGGTAACTCTACGCTGGACGATGGGTACACATCATTACACTATTTTCATTACTTTTATGAATGATATAAGTGCTAATAAAAAGTAAAAAATTAGAATTTATTTTTAAAGTGGCTATGCTAAGCTATCCTGAGAGTCGAATGAACGATCTAATACAAAGTACAATGTTCTTTTTTTGCAAGTTTATGAAGCGCAAATACAAAAAGTTCCTAGTTGAGAAAAAAATCAATTGAAAGTGAACATGTACGTAACAGAAACATCTAGGAAACAACAATACGTACATGTCAGGAGGGAAACCTCCCAGGGGCAGTTGCAAGCCTAAAACCCGAAGCCGCAGGCAACTCACACTAGGCCACCGCCAGGGAGTTCAGGGTAGGCGTGGCGGGCGGAGCTGCGCCCCACGCTACATTCATCGCCAGGAGCCGGGCAGCCAGCTCCACAGAGAGAGTACCGATACCTACCTGCCAGGGCCTGGGAGGTGTGATTATGAGAACGCACGCCTAGAACCCGCTGCTGTGAACCGAGAGCCCAGACAGCGCCGCGGCGAGCAAAATGGCGAGGTCTCCGGCCGCCTCCCACCGGGCGCAGGCCGGGATGCTTGGGCTTCTCACGGGCGCCACTTCCCCTCTCCCGCTCGCCCGGGCGCCCAGAGGGCCGGAATCAGCAGAGCTGGCGGTGCCTCACGGCCAACCCCAGTGCATGAACTTGAGGGGCGCGGGGACACCAAAGCAGACTGCGACCCTGCGCGCGCCGGACCAGGATCCCATCCGGGTTCCGTGCTGCTTCCCGCCCGCAGACGGCGGCTCTCGTACGCAGGCGCAGTAGCGACCGGCTGGGGCCGGAGGGGGCTGGCGTGCGGAGGGTGCATGCGCGTGGCTCTCCATTTTTTTTTTTTTTTTTTTTTTTTTTTTTTAAGATTGGGTTTCATTGTACTGGCCACAGGGTGAATCTCAGGAGTGGAAGGCCCGGTATATACCACACAGTTTTTCAGATTCAGACAGTGAATAAAATTTTACACTGTAACAGGCTTTGAGTTTGGAGGTGGTGAAGCTGCAGTAATTACCGCGTTCTGTGGGGAGCTCAAGGGGAAAGAGAAGGACGTTCAGTGTACTCCCAGAGATTCAGACCAGTGGACAGGCATTAAACTCCATTAGGATACAACGGAGAGCCAGCTTCCAGTTTGTGGCTCTGGTTCACACAGGTGATCGCCTCTGAGTTAAAGCATGCACACAAATACCCTAAAATCCTGATTTTATATACAATTATTTTTGTCTGAGATGATGACTAAATGGCCCAACTGGCCTTAATCTTAGGATCCTCTGGCCTCAGCCTCCCAAGTATTGGGATTACAGGCTACATCACCTACACCCAGCTACAATCCTTTTTAGCAAAATGATTTAAAAGTAATAAACCCAACCTGGGACATGGTGGTGTAAGCCTTGCCTCATCACCAAGGAGGCCGAAGCAGGAGGATCATTATGAATATGAGGCCAGCCTGCTGCTACACAGTGAGTTCAAGGCCAGCCTGAATTACAAGGTAAGACCCTGCCTCAAAAGACCAAGATCAACACACACACACCCACACAAATGCAAAGGCAAAAGTAATAAACCCATATATAGCCCTCTTTATTTTTAGGTGAGTTTCTTCCAGGTTTTGGTGGTACACAACAAATACATTCATTGTAGGTATATGTACATGACACATCTTCAGTCTTTCATATCCCTTCCCTCTCCCTCCACTTCTCAGCAGAGTTCTTTTAAACTTTTAGTTCATTTTTGTAGTCTCTGAAGCATTCCACAGGACTGTTTCCCAGGAGGGGGAGAGGTTAAAATGTGGGGCAGCTGAGTCATTTTCAGGTCATGAGGGCCAACCCGATAAATGCTTAAGGCCTGGGTAAGGCCTCTGTCAATGGAAGAAATTGCCAAAGGTCAGCATCGGGGTCCAGAAATCACAGCCATAAACAGTAGCTAATGGGCAGATTTTATAATCAGAGGCACCTGGCTATTGAGACAGTCAAAGCTCATATCTGAATAGCATTCCAGATGTTAGCTTTTCCCAAAGTGAAACGAAAGACAAGACATAATTTTGGATTACAACCTAACAAAAGCTAACATGGGCTTTCTGGTAATTGTGTAATACAGAGATGGCAAACCTCTTAGAGCTCTCAATGACACAGTCAGCTGTGGCACAGGTGCCACAGTTTTACCATCTCTTTATAGCCTACTTACCTACTAAACACTTGAAATACTACAAACCACTTGCAGTTAAGTGTTCTCAGTTACATACCTTTATTAACAGAAGGTGAAATATAAAATGAACACCAAGTGTTGGCCTGCTTCAGGGGCTCACAGGAAGATTTTAGTGGATAAGGTTTTAAGGCTGAAGAACACATGTGTGCAAATAGCAACCACAGCAGGCAGCATGAAGCAGAGCAGAGCACAAAGGCGCAGAGCCAGAGCCTCCTGTCTTTATGGTGTTATTCTCAGAGGTTATCTTGCATTTACATTCTTAGCACCATAATCAGCAATGCGTGTTTACCTGTGCAAAGTTACTATACACAACTGTATTTCACTGTGCGCCTGCACCAGACAAGTGGGGTCACATCTTCTGGTGCCCTTAGATGCCCCGGAGCTTTGCAGCAACCTTAGGCTTTATGTTGAGCATCCTATGGTAAGGAATATGAAGGCAAATTTTGACCTTTTAAGGAAGAAAAGAATTAAGACCCCTCAGGGATATAGCATAGTGGCACAGTGCCTGCCTGGCAAAAGCACAAGGTCGTGAGTTTACCGATTAAAAAAAAAAAAAAAAAAAGACCTACGTATTTGCATTACTGTATTGATTTCATAGTCTGAATCTGGATACCCTGTATAGCCATAGTGTAGTATTTAACAGCTGCTCTTCTACCACCACTATTTCTGACACGCTGAGTTAACACCATATTCTACAAGTGCTTTTTGACAGACCAGAAAACTGTTAAGTAAAGGCACTCATGCTGTTTACCGCCTGTCTCATTCTGTCAGAATGAGCTTCTCCATGGTCCCAGAGGGGATCACAGCAGTCCCGGTTACTAAGACCCCACAAGCCATCCTTACAAGCCTGAAGAAACCTTCAACTTCAGGTTTTACTCCGAGTTCATTGGCATTGCTGCCAATGAAGATTAGGTACCTTGGATGTTCTAAAATCTTTTAAAGCTTAGTATCATATCTGTTACATGAAAGTCCTCACAAATAAAGAGTAGTAGTAGTATCACAAGTAGAGGAATAGATTTCTCTAAATCATGTTTTACACGGTGAAAGTACTGATTAGTCAATACTGACCCCAGGATGAGAAAAAGTAAGTTTTTTTATATCATTTTAAGACTAAGAAATTTGGTTTTGTACATAAGATTCAAGGACATGTATTAAAAATGTTGGTAATTGCCGGGAATTTAGTTCAGTGGCATAAGCACTCGCCTGGCAAGTGCAAGGTTGTGAGTTTGATCCCCAGTACTATTTAAAAAAAATTTTTTTTTGGTAATCAATAAAAACATATTTGTTACTTCACAGATTTATGTGGGAGAATAAAGTTATTTACATTTTCTACAAATACTCTTTCCAAAGACCAAGTTAGGATATTTATTTTTTATTTCAGACCATTTAAAACAAATGATTACAAAACAACTATAATTAAATTACTACTGCAATTTCTAGCAGTTTAAAAAAGTTCTAGTTTTGAGAAAGTAACAAATCTACTTTCATAGTGTATAATACTATTAAGTACAGGTTTACAAAAACTGAGGAAATACAGACTTAACTGTTGAGTAGAAGATATTTTTGATAGGCAGACAACCAAGACGTTTCCCCAGCACTAACGTAAAATTAGACTGTTTCTAATCTCAATCCATATTTACTGTGCTTCCTCTTTGGTTTTCTTCAGTTTTGTTTCTTCAGTGTGGAAAACAATAAATTTGCTTTGAGACTGCTGAAGCTTTATTAAAGTTAGGGAGCAAGGAGTCCTCTACATACAGTTACCAGGCGGGTGAAGAGCGCACCAGTTCCACTGTCCTGGTGACTACTGTCCAAGGAAGGAGGCCATGGGGTCATCTGGCCTCTGGCGTTTCATCCTGTAGGCCTCCATTTCCTCCTCAGTGGGCTCCCGAGCTTCATATATGCTATTATAAGGTCGCTTCCTCTCATCAACCTGCATGATCTCCTTGACCTGAAGAAGGCGGGCCTCCTCTGCATTCAATGCCTACAGTGAGAGGGAAAAGAATTAATACCGCCACATCTGTTTTGTACAAAAACGGCAGACCCAAAGGAAAGACCCCTGAACACGGAGTGCAGTGTCCAACAGCTTAGGAGCCAGCCTTTCAGAAACTACTTACTATGTGGCTCTTAAAGCTATTTCTGCAGAGCACAAAACATTCTATGACATTTTAAATTCGTGTTAAATTTCATTTAGTAACAAAAAATGAGTTCTTTCTCAAAGAAGTTGACAACAGATGTTTCTGGGGGAGAGTGCAATTCTGATTTTTCTCAAGGATTTGCTAACACTTAGAAATAATACAGCTAGAAGCCAATTTTTTCTGGGCAACATGTCAAGGACGCTAAAATAACAGTTTTATGAAGCACAAATCTTTGTTGCATTAGTGATATTTATCAAATATTCCAAGGCAGCAATACTTAAGCCCATGAAACCTCCATGAATGTGAGCTGGGCCTACAACCCAGACGCTGGCTCATGTCCTCAGTTCTTGGGATAAACTTGCAGACAAGACTAGATCACTTCTCACTGTTAGAATCCTGGTGTCTGTTACTTTTGTAGTTAGAGTTCACAGCCTACCTTTTTCAGTTTTTCATGTTTCTTTTCTTCATCATCACTCTCTGAACTGCTCTTTCGGTGCTTCTTCTTCTTCTTTTTCTTCTTCTTTTTCTCTTCTTTTAGTTTTTCTTGGTGCATCTAAGCAGGATGATTAAAACACAAGGTTATTAGTGTAAACACAAGGATCTAGTACATGTTTGAAAGTCCTTCCTTCTGGACTTACAAATTTAGGACAAATGATAACAGACTTACCTCCATGAGGGTCTGAGGTTTTTTCATAGATTCTTCTCCGTTTATATCATCTGTAATACATTCCTCTGAATTCTGTGGGGGAAAAAACAGATGTAATTTGAGTTGAACGTTAGTTAATAATCATATTTATACATAAAATCTGAAATATAAGCAGGTATGTCTTATGCCGGGCTAAGAGCTTTAGCTGTCTTAAACCTTTAAGAACCAGAAGACAATTACTCACCAGAGTCTCCTTCCCAGCTTCCCCTGTACAATAGGAATACTTGAAAAATGAGTGGCAGCATCTATATCCCCATTTGCCGTCTTTCCAGTAGGATCCCCAGATGTGCTACACAGAGAACAAGACAGGTTATTTGTTTGCTTTTGGTACTGGGGATTGAAGTTAAGAAGAGAGGTTGTTTTAAAAGGAAGATTAAATTAAAACTTCAAGATACCGCTGGTAAGGTAATCTGCAAGAAAATTATGGGAATTCCCAGGTAATAGGGAGAAGGTGGGCCAGTCCCCTTCTCAGTCACTCCAGCTGGCATTACAGTTCAGCTGGCCTTAAAATTCTATTCTCAAAAGCTTATGTAACACTCGAGGACAGCCAATTTCCCTTTAGAAGTTAGGACGCGGGAGTTTTGGGCGCACTTTCCCGCTTGGCACTAAGTGGCTGTGGCTGAGCAGGGTGTGTCCCTAGGAGATGGGTTTGTGTTGTCTGGGCTGTACAATCTGCCTGGCTCTAGACAATCAGTGACCTGGGCTGCTATAGTAGTTAGGTTTTTGATCCCTGACCTAGACAAGTGTAGTTTGGAACTTTAAGACTACACCAAGCTGCGTGTGGCTGTGAACACCTGTAATCCTATCTACTTGGGAGGCTGAGTCAGGAGGACTGCATGTTTGAGGCCAGCCTAGGCAACTTTGGGAGATCCTACCTCAAAACATAAAATAAAAACAGCTGGGAGCTGGACATGGTGGCACATACCTGTAATCTCAGCACTTGGGAGGCTAAGGCAGTAGGAACATTGCAAGTGTGAGACCAGTCTGGACTACAAAGTGAGCTCAAGGCCAGCCTGAACTGCATAGTGAGACCCTTTCTCAAAAGGACAAAAAAAAAAAAAAAAAAAAAAAAGCTGGAGATGTAGGAGGGTTGAGTACCTGGGTTCAATTCCCAGTACTGCAAAAAATAGAATAAAATAAAATACCAACATGATTCCAACTATAAACAAATGGGCTTGTGATCTTGCTCGGAGGCAGAGCATGTGGTTGGCCTGCAGGAGCCTGGGATTTAATCTTCAGCACAAGCACACAGGAAGAGAACAGCAAGCAGCAGTCTGTGAAATACACTATATCACTGTTACGTACCCTTGTCAAAATAACTTGCACCTAACCAAACTTTTGGGCCCAAATTCTTATTTCTGGGACATATAAGAGACATACGAGGGAGTAAGTTATGTGCTGTTACTAGGAACTAGTCAAACACCGAATACCAGACAGTATATGAGACAATTGGCTGTATTTGGTAAATGGTTGCTTTCATGAAAACTGGAGACAGACTCTAAAAAAGATGTAACAACCAAGAAATGATTAACACGAATTTCCACTTGATTCCCATATGAAAAAGCTACTACAAGTATTTTTGTGTGTATTTTTCTTTCTTTTTTTGAGACAAGGGTCTGCTGTGTAGTTCAGGCTGGCCTTGCACTCACTATGCAGGCCAGACTGGCCTCAAACTTGCAGTGATCTTCCTGCCTCAGCTTCTTGAGTTCTGGGATTACAGGCATGCCTGGCTTTTGTGTGTATTTTTCAAAAAGTAATTAAGGAGTAATATTAGTATTAAAGAATTAAAGTTTCTGAAGTACAGCAGTCACATGGTCATGTAGAAGAGTATTTATATTCTTGGAAGATAAATGACCTAAACGATTATGGGTGGAATGCAGTATCTGACTTACATAGTAATACCTGTATATGTGTGTCTAAGTGTATACACAAACCTAGACAGAGCACATATAGCAGTGTGTTAACATTTTTTGAATCTAGGTAGATAAATAGATAAACCTAATCATATGCCCTTTAAAGTGTTCAAAGAAAAAACTCCACATCAATAGAGTTAAGTTATAATAGAAAAAAATGCAATCTAGAGCCCAACTAACAAGGCGAAATGGTTCCAGTGTAACACATACCGTGTGATTGTTGATCTTCACATCTTCCTCATACTTGGAGCAGGCAATGGCCCGCTCCTGGCCTTTAATGACTGTGCCATGTCTCGAGTACTCCACGTAGTCTTCAGTCTGGGCTAAGAGCAATTCAACTGGAGGCGTATCCAAGTGTTCTTGGCCACCATACTAAAAGAACATTGGACGGACACTGTTAAACATACTCTACAACAAAGATTAGCATTCAAATTTCTATGGAAGGGTTTGCTTTCATTTAGAAAGCATAAAGGAACATTCTTTACTAGGCTTTGTTATAGACAACACAATGAAAAAAATTGCTATCAAGTTTTCACAGATGAATAAATCTCAGCTGTTATTCATCTGCTAAGTATGGCAGCCTACAAGATAGCCCTAAACTCCTCTTTTTTGCCTGCCTTTTACCTCCTGCTGCTGCTGTCCCACCAGGAGGTGGAGTCTTTCACACCCCTTTCATCTGGGCTTGGCCATGTGACTTGTGATGGCTAGGAAATGGGAGGCATGCAGAGGCACCTGGGCATACCGCACCCTGGAGCACCCATTTCTGGAACCCTGAAATGCCTTCTAAACAGTGGGCTGGAGGCTAGAGGGGAAGAGACCATGGGAGGCAGAGCTCCCCAGAACAATTAGCCTGTTAATGACCAAACACCAAGGCATGCAAGGTCCTCAGCTGAGCAGGCTCAGAAACTCAGCTGACATACAGAACTGTAAGAAATATTTAGTATTTGTTTTAAGTGCTGGTTTTGGGGTGCCATGTTTGGCTGCAAAAGCTCACTAATATGAAGTCTATACCTTCTGATTTATGTCACTGGAATTCTCTGTGGATTAAAAGGCCTCTCCTTGGTCATTATTCTAAATGTCAAATACATGCTGATTAAGTTGTAACTTTTCTTAAAATTCTTCTTGGTCATTTGATGAAAGTTACCTTTTCCAGGATACTCTCTTTCTGTTGTTCCTTGAAGTCTTCTTTTTTGACTTTGAAGGACTTATACAGCAGCTCTAGTTTGGTAGGATCTGCCTGCAGGTGCACTTCAGATCCTCTGTCATAGGCTTCCCAAGCAAACACTAGAGCAATTCAGAATATTCTAATGAGTCACCAGCTATGTTTATTACACATTTTCTCTGAAGCAAGCCTTAAAACATTACCTTCTGTCCCTTCCACTTTTTTTGTGGTACTAGATACTGAACCCAGGGCTTGTGCATCCCCAGCCCTCCCTTTATGAGCCAAGGTCTTACTATGGTACCTAGATGGGGCTTGAATTTGTGACCCCTTTTTCTCAGTCCCTTATGCTCCCATTTTTATAGGTGATACAAATGCCCTGGCAGGCAGCGAACACTTACACTGTGTCTGAGCCATTGAGATAGTATCCCCTGTGTATCTAACGAAGTTATCTCCAGCATAACTCACTCTGTAAATACAAATTTTCAAAACATTCAGAAATTTTCCTTTTAAAGGAATTCATAACACTTAATCAGAATTAAAATGAAGTCTATCTATGGTTGGGTAAAAACAGAACTTATTTTGAAATCTGTAAATCTGGTACTTACTCATCTGGATTCTTCCCTGCATTAGCATATGGATTCTCTCTCATTGCTCTAGTTTTTGGATCATAGTAGGCAGAATTTGGATCCAAATTTCTCAAATACTGGAAGGAAAAAAATGTTCAAAAGCTGAAGATTTACTTATGCAAAATACTCTGGCAGGCAGTTGTTGTTTAATGTGATGCATGTGTGATTTCCAGGGTACAGGCGAAGAGATAAACAATGATACCTTGTTCTGGGAGAGACTCTGCCTACATTACCCAAATATCACCCATATACAATAGGAAGATGCAATTTAGGCTGCAAGGTAATAATTTCAAATGTGTGTCAGGTTGGCAAGACTTACTTTTGCAATGTCTTCTCGAATCCTGAGGTTCCGAACAGTGATTCGTCTCTTGGAGTCAAAATTCTGTCCAGGCATGTCAATGTCATCTGCATACTTATCTTCATCCTCATCCTCGCTATTGTGATCTTTTTCCTGAAAGAGGGAGAGGGAACAAAAAAAACTATGAGTGAAAAAGAGCAGCGTTTAGCCCTTGCTTCCCTTTCCCTAAATCTAACCGGCCCTTTTTTTGTTGTTATTAAAAGTTACTATTAGTTATTAAGTTATTATTAGCCACTGAAAACTGAAAAACTGGGGGCTGGGGATTTAGCTCAGCGGCATAAGTGCCTGCCTTACAAGCAGGCAGTCGTGAGTTCGATCCCTGGTACCGATAAAAAGGAAAAAGACCCCCCCCCCGCCCCGCAAAAAAAAAAAAAAAAAAAAAAGAAAAGAAAACTGAAAAACTTAACGCATACTCGAACAGGGCAATACTTTATTACCATCTGAGAGTTTGGTTCCTCTTCTCCCCACTGGTGTTTTGGAGAATTCTGCATCAAGAAAAAAAGAAAAGCATTTGCAGTTGTATTTTATTTTACCTACTGACTACTTATCATTATAAAAATGTAACTGAGACCATTTGGGGATGATGGCACAACTTAGTGCTGAGCTTTGCTTAGCCATGTGCAAGGCCATGGCTTCAGTCCCCGGCACTGCAGATGATACTACTACTGCTCCTACTGACAGTAACAGTGAGTATTGTACCTGAACAAGTTCTTGTGTTTCTTCACTTGTGATGAGGACAGATGTTTTGAATATAAACACACCACTGTAAACAGTTAATTTTATTAGACTATCTACAAACCCAGAAAATATCTAGGTTCGTTCTTTCTTTCTTAACCGATGTAGGATAATCACACAAGATTAATGGGAATACTAAGATGAACAAAATAATGAATGTAATTTTCATGTACCTCAGTCTTTAGATATACCACGTTCATTAAACCTCACTAGTTTCCTATCAGGTCAAATGAACCTTTGTAAAATTCTGGCAATGAAGAGGGCGAAACATGTTTTAAGGAAAGGCCAAAAATTTTGTCAGAAAGAAATTCTTTTCTTCATTAGCAGTTGCCCAGAATACCAATAATGAAATGGTCAGTATAATGTTACGTCTCTTTAAAAAGGTTTCAGAGTAAAAAGGAAGACAGCACTAGTGGGTGAGGAAATGTTGAAACAGGAGTATGTGCGCGTGTGCACACAGTACACTGATGGGAATAAATCTGTAGGATGTAAATTTCCTAAATTTAGGTATGTCATTATATATATATATAATACAGACACCACTTCTAGCAATTTATTCTAAGGAAATAATATAAAGGTGTGTAAGAATGGAATTTATACTGTGGTGTATAATAGCAAAAGAAACTGGGAAAAAGTTGAATTAACAACAGAGGACTGGTTATGTGATTTACTGCACTTAATGAAACACTGAACAAGCATTTAATAAGTCTAATCAAAGTAGACAAAAATATGCATAACCTGCTAACATTTTATGTGAAAGAATAGGGAGGGAGAAGCAGCAGTAAGATCACGTATTTATTTGTGTTGTAAATTCTGAGTCACACCACAAAAAAGGTTATGGGGAGAAGCTTCAGAAAAGGGGAAAAGGTTTTTCACTGAACACCTTGTTAAACTCCTGAATTTTAAAGCATAAATACATGTAAAAATGAATGGTATTACACGTTTATATTTAACACAGAAAAGTCCTCACTGCATTGTATATTGCTAAATTAAATAAGATAATGAGAATGCACAGATGAATCCATTTAACAAACATGTTATTACAAACATTAAATATATGTGGCAATAAACAGGAAACTGAAGACATCCAAAAGTTAGTAGTTGTATAATTTAGTGTACAGGGTGTACACAAGGCATTACCTTTGACCCTGGCACCTTAAAACAAAACAAAACAAAATCCCAAACTCTAAAACAAAAACAAACCCTAAATCAAAAAAAAAAATCTATGAAACATGATTAACAGAGAATTTTTTTTATGTTCCTGATTTTTTTTACTAGTATGTGTCTTATTTCAAAAATCAGAAATGTAGGGGCTGGGGGTTTAGCTCAGCGGCATAAGCGCCTGCCTTGTAAGCAGGCAGTCATGAGTTCGATCCCTGGTACCGATAAAAAGGAAAAAAAAAAATCAGAAATGTAATTTATCGCCTTTGTTTTTGGAGATAAGATAACCCTATGTAGTCCAGGCTGGCCTTGGACGACCCACAGTAACCCTTCTGCCTCAGTCTCCCAAGTGCTGGGACTACCAGCATGCCCCACAAGGATAAACTACAAATTTTTTTTTTGTTGTCTTTTTCTTTTTTCTTTTCTTTTTTTTTTTTTTTTTTTTTTTGGTCTTTTTTCCTTTTTATTGGTACCAGGGATCAAACTCACGACTGCCTGCTTGCAAGGCAGGCACTTCTGCCTGCCTTGCTGAGCTAAATCCCCAGCCCTAGCTTTTTTTTTTTGGTCTTTCTCATTTTTATGGGTACCAGGGATCGAACTCACAACCGCCTGCTTGCAAGGCAGGTGCTTATGCCACTGAACTAAATCCCCAGCCCCACTACAAATGTTTTTAAAAGATACTGAGACAATGTTTCTGGGGTCTCTTATAGATGCTAGTTCAACAAAACTTTCACATTGCTGTGGAGACAGCATGGTCCCCGCAGTAACATTCCATAGTGCAGACACACAACAGTTTAATCAGTTCCCTAACATCTGGTTATTTCTTTCTTTTTTTTGCGGTACCAGGGATTGAACTCATAACCTCGCACCTGCCAGGCAGGCGCTTATGTCACTGAGCTACATCCCCAGCCCACATCTGGTTATTTCAACTCTTTGTTTTTTACTACTGTGGAAAATGGTGCAGTGATAATCTCTGTGCATAATGATTTGTATATAAAAGTTACACAAATTCTTTAGATGGGTGGACTGACTTATTTAATTCCCGACAAGGTGTATAAATACTTTAGGGCAACATTCTTTCCCAATGACTGTACTGATCTGTATTTCCATGAGAAGTATAAACAGTGTCAGTTTTACTCCTTTCTCTTAAAAGTACTGGCTGAGCATGCATCAGAAGTGCTTGGGACTAGACATGTTTTCTTTTTTTGTTTTTTCTATCGGTACCAGGGATTGAACTCATGACTGCAGGCTTGGAAGGCAGGCGCTTATGCCGCTGAGCTAAATCCCCAGCCCGTAGACATGTTTTCAATTTTGGATTTTTTTGAGTCTCTGCACATACACACATCCTAAAGGTAATTTTATGCAGCATTTTCACCGTTCCTACACTTTGACTATAGCCTGTCACATGCATTCGGGTACAGCACTTTTTACTTGTGGCACCACGTTGGAGCCCTAAGCTTTCACTTGGAGAACTTACTTTCTGGACTTTTGGATTAATGATGCTCGACCTATATTGTATGTCTCTTTCCCTAACATCTTTTCTACTAGACAGAGAGTGATATAAAATGAATTCTTGTTTCAAGTTTCATTTGCATTGGCTAAGAGTTTGAATATTTTTGTATTGATCTTTTTTATTACTTACAGCTTGTTCTACTAATTTTCCTGAAGCCAATTCTTCTTGAAGTTTCTGTGCTTTCAATGTTCGTTTCGCCTAAAAAAAAAAATCAAATTTTACTCAAAATACTCAAATGTTTTGATTTTCAAAATTTAAAATACATAATTGCATTGTTTCCAGAAAAGGTCACTATACAGGTTACTCTTTGATTCCCTGCAGTCCTAGGCCTCTGTGCTAAAGTAGTTACAGGAATGGGCATGTGAACCAGGAATTCATGCAAGCTGAGGCAGACGGCATCAGCGCTGCACTGCAGGGAGCAGCCCTGACCAAAATGGGCAGATGCCAGGTGCTGCCAGGTAACAGACTGAGCCTTGCAGGCCCAGGGTAACGATAGATTTCAATGTTCAAGAAAAGATGAAATCTAGATTTTTATGTGAAATGTCATGATCTTTAAATATTACCTCTTTTAAAAAAAAGCAGTATGAACCATGGTTTGAAGGAAGGGGGATAAGTAGGTGGACTCATAATTGAAAACATGAGGTTTTCTGGGTGTGCTGGGGCATGCCTGTAATCCCAGCACCCAGGAGGCTGAGGCAGGAGGATCACTGCAAATTCAAGACCAGCCTGGGCTACAGAGTGAGCTCAAGGCCAGCCTGAACTGCATAGTTAGACCCTGCCTCAAAAAGACAAAAAAAAAAAGAGGTTGACTTAAACTTTGATTTTCTGAAAGAAGTCATTTAATTCTCTTCTACCATTCCAATTATGTGAGACAACTGTAATAAAGGCATATGGGTGTCTTTAGCTCCGTGATACAAGTGCCTGGCCAGCAAGCAAGAGGTCATGAGTTTAATTCCCAGTACCGAACAAACAGTAAGAACAACAAAGATATGGGCAAGCTACCACCTGGGGCCAAGAACTCAGAACCTCAAAAAGCGAAAAGGTTTGAATCTTAGATAAAGAGGCCGCGCACATAACTACAGCATAGCACCTGCCTGGCAAGCACAAGGTCATGAGTCCTATTCCGGGTGCCAACAACACCAATAACAAAAACAAAGGAAAAAAACCCCATAGATAAGAGAACAGACGTCCCACACTTCAGCGTCTTCTGCTCTGTAACTTGGGGTAAAGGACAATAAAATAATTAAATATGAAGAAACTGTTGCCAAATAGAATTACCATGCTGGTTAACTATCTGGCCCACTGCTAAGAAATAACATGGTTTATATGGCACTTCGAGACCTGGAAACAGTGGTTAAGTTAGAAATACTGCAAAATGCATACTCCTCGAGGAGAGCAGATGGCCGGCAAATGCCGCTCACCAGATCGACTTTGGCATACTCCTCCACGATCTTCATGTGCTCTTCTGGATTGTAGCCATTCCACCGATCTCTCTTCCCGTCATAGTCAAACATCAGCTGAGGCTGGATGTGTTCGTCTGGAGCTATGTTAATACCTGTGAATTTGGCTCCAACTCGCCTAGGTCTCTGGAAAACAGAAGATTTAATACTTTGCTAAGTATCTGCAGCTCAGAAGGAAGTTTCATGTAGCTTTCACAGAGCAAATGTGGACATGGAATGTTTAGCATGAGTTTAATTACCAGATAACTTTCCAACAGAAAATCCTGATGATGCTGGACTAACTTCGCTCATATTCGTTTTTATTTAACTTGCACTAAAATCTAAATTATTTTAGAAAAACTGACAAGAAACAAAGACTGACTACGTTTCCAAAATCCTCAAAGTGGACTTACCTCGAAGCAGTCTTTCTTTTTGTGTGTCATGGCCCCACAATTCTCACACGCTCCTTTGCGGTACTTAGTAGTTATGGAATTCTACAGATTGACACAAAGCAAAGCAAAGCAATGTTTTATCTAAGTAAGTTAAAAAAGTAACTTGGCTCCAATTAATGTCTTATCCAATGAAATGATTTATTTAGTAAGAGGAAAATGAGGCCCTGCATGACAGTACACACCTGTAATCTTGGCAGACTGTGAGACTGAGGCAGAAGGATTGTAAACCTGAGCCCAGCCTCAGCTATTTAGTGGCTTAGCAAGACTCTAAAAAAACAATGAAAGGACTAAGGATGTAAATCAGTGTGAAGGTTGTGATTTCAACCCCTAGGACCAGCCAAAAGAAACAAGCAAACACCAAGAAAAGCAAGAAAATATCACTTAGCAGTCTCCACCTGAGTGTGGCCATGTATTTCTGTAGTCCCAGCACTCTAGGAATCTGAGGGAGGAGGATCACAAGCCTAGCCCAGGGAACTATCACAAAGCAAAAATGAAATAAGAACGTTCTGGGGATGTGATGCAACGCAAAGGCCCTCATTTCAATACCCAGTACTAACTGGGTATTGATTTATAGACAAGTAGGTTGAAGAATTTCAGCAAGACCTTTACATCAGGTCCCATTTGATCCAGCTATTCCACTTCTGGGTATCTCCCCAAAAGAATTAAAAACATACCACAGCAATATACATGCACCCATGTTTACAGCAGCACAATTTATAATAGCCAGATCTTGGAAACTACCTAAGTGTGCCCATCCACTGAGGAATGGACAGAAAAGACGTGAGATTTTTATACAATGGAATACTACTTAGTCATAGAAAAGAATAAACTTGAGACTTTTATAGGTAAATGGATACAACTTGAGACCATACTTACAAGTGAAACAAATCAGACACACATGTGTAAACACTATGTTTTCTCAGTAGTGTGAGAAGTGGAAAGAAACACCATATGTATCCATGTGTGTGTGTGTGTGTGTGTGTGTGTGTGTGTATAAATAGTTAAGACAGCTAACTGCTCTGAGTGCACCGAAGAGAAATTAGTGTTGGTACTGTTTGGATGATTGAACCCAGATGTCTTGTATCCTGGGTGAATGATGTGAGGATGACAATGAGCAATGTATGTACCACTGTGGAGCCCTGATTGATGTGTTTTGAAATTTTATTTTTTTTCCTGTTTAAAATAAAATGGAAGAGAAGAAAAAGAAATTTTATTTGATTGGGACAGGGTCTCGTGCAGTGAGACACAATCTCCTTCTATTTCATAAAGCATTACATTAAAGCTATTTTTTGTTTTTGTTTGAAACAAAGTCTTGCTATGTATTCCAGAGTGGTCTTAAACTCACTAAAAGGTGGCTGATTTCCACCTTAGGGTGATTCTTCTCAGTTTCCTGAGTGCTGGGATTATGGGTGTGTGCCACCATGCCTAGCCTAAAGGTATTTTATATTAAGTTCTTCAAATAACATCCCCATATGTATGAGGACATATATGGCTCGCCCACATACCTCTTTTACACCTCTCTTGTACCATTCGCCAGATGAGCTGAATTGCTTTTGTTTTTCTGGCTGTGGTCTCTGATGCTTTAAGGTGGGTCTTTTTGATGGATCAATGTACCATGGCACTGAAGAAATATACTGAGGAATATGAGGATTGATGTCTCTGTAATAAAATTTTTAAATAAAGTTTGAAAATATTTATAACAAAGGTTTCCTACACAAAATCTAAGAATGGAAATACAACAGCAAGAGGAGAACATGACAGACAACTGATTAAAATTACTAGGTAAATATTATTATTTAGAGTTGTAAAGGTAATGCCCAGAAAAGCCCAGATTTAAACGTAGCCACCACAGAGCGGGACAAGGAGCAGGAGGGTGGGGAGAGACTTCTGCTGCTCATGGTGAGCTCTGTGCCATTCAGGTATTAACCCTTATGCAGATGAAGTTGACAGAATAAAATAACATCAGAACTGATAAAGAGATTCAAATGTGAATTTTGCAGGAATACATTATGCAAAAATAAATTACTTACTTTCCTTCTTCATCAACTTCTGCAGGAGCATTGCCCAATTTGCGTTGCTCTTCTAGCTCTTTCTTCTTTCTCCAGTCTTCTCTAGTCATCTTCTTTGGTTCCTCTAAATTCATTTCTTTGGACCCCGACAGGGGTGCAGCGTTGGCTGTGTCCACAGCTGCTGCCGACATGATGACGGGGCTCCCTCTACAGAAAGGAAGAAGGAAGCTACAGGAGGAAGCAGGCCTTCATGAAGTCATTCCTGAGACTAAAAAATCCATCCGAACAACACGAATGAGTTAGACACAGTGTGTCATATATTTACAATTTCACAGGACTCTTTCACCAGCATTCCTGAATGCTCTTTCTGTGTAGTAACTCAAATTTCTCTGTCACAGTCACCCTTAAAGGCAGCACACAGGAGGGTCCCATTCCTGTTTCTCTTTAAGGACAGATGTTTCAAGGCAGTGATGGTGAACCTGGTAAGAGACTGAGAGTGCAAACTGCAACTCCAAAGCCATTTACTTACTGCAAAGTGCTGCTGTTGCAATTAACCCTGAACACTGAGGTTTTAGTTTGGAAGAAACACTTACACTCTTCACTTGTGCGTAGACAGACAGGGCTCTCTGGGCCTGCTGTGGCACGTGTGCTATGGGTTTGCCACCACTGACTCATGTCACTATTTCTTCCCTTTCCAGTCCTCAGTTATAGCTAACATCACATCTATCCTTGGCTGTTCCAGTGAGTTACCCTAAGTTATCAATGATTGCTGTGCTAAATAGACTGCATGTTTTTCAGTCCCATTCCTTTACTTTTTAATATATTCCTATTTCCTGGCTTCTGTGACACTATTTTCTACTGGATTTTCTTCTTTCTTTTTTTAAAATCATAGATATTTAACTTTATTTCATCAGTGTCATTTAAAGATTGATTTTAAAAAATTTTAAAAATGTAAGAGTAGGGTCTTAACTCAGCAGTGTAAGCACCTGCCTAGCAAGTGGGAGGTTGTGAGTTTGATCCCTGGCACCAAAAAATAAAAATGTAAGAGTTCATATTACAGGAATTAATACAAATATCCATTGCTTTAGGGATTCAAGTTATAGAAATTAAAAATCAAGACCCAAGAAAGGAATACTTCATTACTTTCAGGATCTAAACAAAGGTTCTGAATTTTCAGACCCTGCTAATAGTTTTATATCCAAATATCTCTCTAGCTAGTGTAGTCATTTTCTGAGCTCAGACTCCGTGGTGACAAGCACAGTGGGTTTGTATGTCTGTACTTCAGTAAAGGTTTCAGGTAGATACATTCATGCCAATATAAAATGCTGCTGATGCCACATGAGAACTCAACTACCACTGCAGTGCTCTGTGGCGGGGGATGGGGGGGAGCTGCAGATTAAGGTGCAAATCTACCTTGTGGATGGTGACCACGGCAGCTCACCGATGAGCTCTTCAGGTGCCTCATTCTCTGCTCCTCTGGTCTCTTTTGCAAGTTCACCACCCAGTTATTTAAATTCCTCAAAGCTGAGTTGGAGCATCCTTTGTTACTCTAAGCCATACTGATTTCCAAGGCTTTAACAATCACAGTACAAGGGGCTATCAAAATATATAGTGAATACTTATTTATTTATTTTTTGGTACTGGGGATCAAACTCATGACTGCGTGCTTGCAAGGCAGGCGCTTATGCTGCTGAGCTAAATCCCCAACCCCTGTAGTTAATTTTTAAATTGAAAAAATTTATTATAGTGAAACACATTGCTACTGCCCCTCTCAAAATACTCCCCCTTGATTCAGACATGGATATCCATTTTTATGAATGTCTTCATAAGATGTGATAAAAAAATACAGTGAATGATGCTGCTGGGTGCCATCCAATGCAAAAGGCTGCTTGTAAAAATAAGTTTTCAAAGGGGAGCTAAACTTAATTCAAAACTCTTGATCTTCATTCTGAAATCTAGCATCTTTTCACTGCTCCCTATCTCAATTAGAGATCACACCATCCATTTGCTTACATGTGTTCCAGTTTATCCTTAAATTTATTTCATTACTAAGAGTTATTCTTACTATCTGAATACCTTTGAATTTCATATACTTCTTACCATTTGCAATGCCACCTACCACTTCAATGTGAATTATTACTTTTTCCTGATCATTGGGTTTCTCTGATTCCCTCCAATTAATTCTCCATGCTACAGCTTAATTTTTCAAAACACAAATTGGATCATATGATGTCCTAAAGCCCCAACTTACTCCTCCAATTGCAGAACTGTACAAGAGATGTAATGCCTGCAGCATATGTAATTTTGGTTTCTAGCAACCACTGTTAAATGGTTAAAAGAAAGTACAGTCACTTTTATGCAATTTTACTTAGTCCAATATTGCCAATTTAAAATTCAATCAACATGAAACATCAACTAGGTCCTGAAAGCTGGTACAGATTTTACACTTACTTGGACCAACTATATCTTGAGCCTCAGTAGCCACAAGTAGCCAGCAACTATCATATTGGACAGTGCAGTTCCAATGATCTCATTTCTACACTAAAAATGAGTATTTTTAAAACACACTTATATGGTTGACAATAGTCTGGCACCTACCTACCTTCTGGCCTCACCATCACAACTATCCCATTTTCCTTCTCTACCCAGTATACAGACCTGCTTCTTGTGCCTTTAACACACTATGCACTCTGCACACATTGGTCATTTACAAAACTTTCTCAACAGGAAGTGCTCAATGGCTATGTCTATGATGCTGCTCAAAGATGTTCTCTTATTCTGTGTCAGACCCATAGAAAATCTCCACAGGTGTTTGTGTAATATACACTGTGAGGTCAAGGGGCCCCAAAATAAATTTAATCATCATTTTAATAACTACCGTTTTCTGCGCTCGGATCTCATTTAATCTTTTAAACAACCACATTTTGCAGTGAAGAAACAAGTTCCGAGACCTTAGAACGCACATTAATAACAAAGATAAAAAAAAAATCAGGCCTAATCCAACGTGAGCTCTTTAAATCATTGTTACCTAACATACAGCACCGGCTTCTAGGCCTGCATTAAAAATTAAACATTAAAAATTAAAATTGGCATGGTGGTGCACGCCTGTAATCTCAGGACTCGGAAGGCTGAGGTATCGCTGAGAATTTGAGACAAGCCTGGGCTACAAGGTGAGCTGCAGGCCAGCCTGAACTGCATAGTGAGACGCTGTCTCAAAAAGACAAAATAAAATAAAATAAAACTGTATGGTGTGTTCATCAAGTTGTATTCACTAGCTTCCTTTGTTGTGGAGGGGCCAAGTCTAAACGACCACAGCTTCCGCCCACTGAGTGCTTACTGGAAGCTAACGTTTTATATAAACGATCTCATTTAGTGTCATAATATGTACTGTAGTAGTCCGAAAAGTAAGATCACTAGCTAACGAGAAAATCGAAGCTCAAAAAATTTTTTCTGGAGAGGAAACGGTGGGTCAACGTGGTAAAGGACCACTCAGGGTCCCTAGAACACCGCGACAGAAGGATCACTATCACTCATCCCCACCTGAAGACGCAGGCTTGGTCGGGAGGGACACAAGTATCAGGCCTGCGTCCTAGACAACGGCTTTCCTCTCGGTTTTGTGTCCGCACTCCTTCCTCTGCTAGGAGTTCACCACCCCCGGAAGGATAGATCTAATACCCAGAAACCTTCCACTTATTTCCTATGGTTTCTAGAACCTCTCCTCTCTCCTGACCGCAAATTCGCAGAACATTTTCTTACCCACTTCGGCTGCCTCCACTGCAAAACCGTCCGACTTAAATGCAAAAAACCGTGAATGTTTACTTCCGGACCTTCTGTCTCCTTCCGGAAGACCTGCCGTTGTTTCCGGACGGCTAACGCATGCGCACTAAGAAGTAATTGGCGAGCCGGGCGTGTTGGCTCACGCCTGTAATCCCAGCGCTCAGGAGGCTGAGGTGGGAGGATCGGTGCGAGTTCGAGACCAGCCTGGGCTACAAAGTGAGCTCAAGGCCATCCTGAACTGCATAGCGAGAGCCTGTCTCAAAAAAGACAAAAAAAAAAAAAAAAAAAAAAAAAAGAAGTAATTGGCTTGCAGGCTCTCTGGTGCCTCCAGCGTCAGGAAGTTGGAATTGTGCATATTTCCATATTTACTCTGTAACTATGAATACTTGGAAAGTCTTTCTTCTCTCCTTTAGAATCGCTGAATGTTAGGACGAAAAATTCTCAAAAGTTTAGTAATCTAAAACAATGGCTTACGTCTCACTAAGGGACTATGAAGAGAATGAGGAAGTTTGTGAAATATTTAGTAACAAACCAGTTAAGTTCATAGTGTTAATTAGTAGCCAGACGCTGGAGGTTGTGTGTGAACAGTGTCTCTTCTCAAATTTACCTCGAACAGAGTGAGGAAGGCGCTGAAATAATTAATGAAGTAATTTACAGTTGTAAAATTCGCTATGAAAGAAATACCAGGCTGTGAGAAGGAATTATTATTATTATTATTGGTAACAGGAATTGAACTGAAGACCTTGCACTTGCCAGGCAGGCGCTTGTGTTGGAACTGTGAGAAGGTAGAGCATGTTTTGGTAATTGCGAACTTGGGTTTTATCAATAGAAAAATACTATAAAGCAATTCTCATTTTGAAAAGCAATAGCTCTGTGACATCTTAGTTCTTTGGAAATACACATATGAGGATTTTTTTCTTTTTCTTTTTTCTTTTTGTGGTGCTGGGGGTGGAACCCAGGACCTCATACACCTCGGGCAAGCGCTTTACCACGAAGCTGCATCCTCAATTTGAAAGTATACAGATGGAATTGAATACTGGGAAATAAGCAGTACTCTTGGCAGAGTTTCCTGGGATTATTTGTGTTTGTGTGATGTCTGTTCTGTACATTATCCTCCCATAATATATTTAGTTTCAGATATAATAGTTAAAATAGCTAACACAAGAGTCCAAAAGTAATAAGACGCCACCCCTTTCACCTTTTAAAAAGAATTTATAGTGCTTAGACACTTAGACATAAATTTTTTTGGTCTTTTTTTGAGACAGGCTCTCGATATGCAGTTCAGGGGGGCCTTGAGCTCACTTTGTAGCCCAGGCTGGTCTCCGACACGCAACGATCCTCCCACCTCAGCCTCCTAAGTGCTGGGATTACAGGCGTGAGCCACCACGCCTGGCTCATAAATTTTTGATTTTACAAGGCAATTGAGGAGGGAAGAATAAGTGATTAGCCTGAGAGTAGAGTCCATGAATCAATAACTCAGAATTTTTTTTTCACTTAAAAATATCTCTAAAATTCACTTTTGAGTGTCCAGGCTTAAGTAGTGAGGTGTACACCACGGAGCACATTTCTCAGAGGAACTGTATAATATGCTGGACAATAGCAAGGAATATTTCGTAAGGTTTAGATTATCTGTGGAAGGTTTTCAAGAGGGTCTAGGAAAGCAGGGATTAGTTGTGGATGGGTAGCTGTTTGCACAGCTAGATTAGGAGAAACTGAATTAACTAAAACTCTGTGATATTACAAATGAGGGATTAGCAATTGGATCAGTTATTCCCGTTACAGGCCACACAGCAAAGGAGGTGGGCCGGGAGCATCATTAGTTACAAATGCATGACCAAAGAGGGTGCTTAGGTGACTTGGGAAAATCAGTGCTTCCCGTTGGTGAAGGTGGGGTGGGGTAGGCATGGGGTTCCAAAGGGTTCTAAACCCTGCACCTCAGAACCATGGGAGATACTGAATGCCCCCTGGAAGCTGTAGATACTGTACAGATTTAGCTTCAAAAGTTAGTGCTTTTGTGTGCTGATGATATAGCATGAAGATGTGAAATGAAGGAAATAAAATATAGGGAGAAAGGGAGTTGGGATTTAAAAAAAAAAGACAAGGAAGGAAAAAGAAAGGTACACTTTTTTTTTGTCTTCCCTCTTTTATTTTAAATTAAAAAAAATTAGGGCTGGGGATATAGCTCAGCAGTACAGCTCCTAACTGGCAAGTGTGAGGTTGTGAATTTGATCTTCTCTGGTACTAAGTAAATAAATGAATAAATAAAAATAAATAAAAAATTATTACCCTAAAAGATTCATTGCTGTTAATCTCCCTCAAGATATCTCACACTGCTTTGAACATACTTAGGTGATTCTTAACCTTTTTTTAATTTTTAATTTTTTGTTTCTTTTTAAAACAGAGTCTTAAACTGGCTGGCCTTAAACTCACTATATAACAGCATAGGCCATCCTCAAACTCTTAGCAATCCTCCTCTTCAGCCTCCTGAGTACAGGGATTATGGGCGTGCACCAACATTTGATTTATGTTCTTAAATTGCTCAGGCTAGGCTCAAATCTGTGATCCTCCTGCTTTAACTTTCCAAAGGGCTGGGCTTCGAGGCATGAGCTGCCATGCCTTCTAAATGATAGAATTTTAAGAGAAGTCTAGCCCAGGTTGGTAATCCATACCTGTGATCCCAGCCCTCTGGGAGGCTGTGGCAGCCTGTTTATTTAAGTCCAGGCTAGACAAAATGATGAGCTAGCAAAACTCTGACTCCAATAAATAAATAAATAGGAATGGTGCTACAGTTCAATGCAAAGGCACACGGTGAGTAGGTGAGGCGGTACATGCTTATGATCTTAGCATATGAGAGGTTGGGGCAGGAGGGTTGTGAGGAGGCCAGAAGTTACCAAGACCCTGTCTCAAAATTAAAAGGATGGGGATAAGCTCACTGGTGGAACACTGACACCTAGCACCTGTGAAATCCTGGGTTCAATAAGGTCTTTATATTTGCATGTTCCATGGTGAAACGACTCCTTTCCAATGCTCTTTGTAGACTTTTGAGATGTAAAAATTAGGAGTATTGTTTCTTTCTTTCTTTTTTTTGGTCTTTTTCCTTTTTATTGGTACTGGGGATCGAACTCACGACTACCTGCTCGCAAGGCAGGCCCTTATGCCGCTGAGCTAAATCTCCAGCCCCAGGAGTATCGTTTCTTAATTATAAATTCTTTAAAAATCCTAAAACATCCTACATTTTATAGTTAATACTATAAAATGGCCAATCAAAACATATGGTGAACGCTTAAATTAAAAACTCAAAGAAATCACTAAGAAAAATAAGATGTTTGAAGCAAGGAAGAATATTTTGAAAATATGAAGAGGATGTAAAGGCAATGTGTTTTTTGCTGGAATAATTTTTAAAATTCAAACCTTACCCTATTTCTCGATCACCCCTCATGTATTATCATTATTATTATTATTATTATTTTTTGAGATAGAGCCTCACTATGTAGTACAGGCTGAACTTCAGCTCACTTATATAACCCAGGCTGGTTTCAAACTCACAGTGTCAATCTTCCTGCCTCAGCCTCTCAAGTGCTGGGATTACAGGAGTGTGCCCCATGCCTGGCTAGAACTGGAGGTTTTAAGGAAGCCAAAGAATCGCCAGATGTTTGGAGCAAGGGGAAGGTTGTCGGAGAGTGAGATTGGACCATGTTCAATGTAGCTGTTTTATTCCATGTGTAATGAGTGACAGACTTTCTGAAGGTTGTACCACCCACCAGTCATGCATCCCTGTCCCTTGTGGCTATGTAATACCAAGGACGGTGAGGGATCTTTATCACTAATGTATGAGCCATGTGAATGTCCAGACAGTCTCCATTCTTTCTCCAAATCAGTCAAAATTTTACAGTATTTGGAAACAGAGACACATATTCTCATAGAGTAAGTTAGGTAGAAATAGTGTAGGAGAAAGACAGGGCTGGGTGCTCAAGAGAGCCGAGGTAAAAAGTGAAAACATATTACAGGTATGGAGATGCATCTGGAAGAGATGACAACAAAGGAGTAGACTTAACCTAGGTCCTACGGGGTGAGATAAGTGATAACACCTGGTCACCAGTCAGGCACCAGTCACCCCAGTGGGCAACCAAGATCCCAGATCCATCACCTAGCTGAGAAGTTCTTTGTTTTTTCAGTGACTTGCTTCTCCACTGGTTCAATATTACCTAAGCAGCTATACTCAGAATCTTATTGATCATAGCTATAACCCACATTGTACCCACTTGGGTTTTGCTCTAATATAATGATTTCCCTATAAAGTGGGGTCCCTGGGCTACCCATTTGGGTTCCCTCCTGTCCCTCAATATTTCCTACTCTTAACTTCTGCTGTTCCTGAAATTCATTCTTTAAGAGAACACGAAAATCAGCATATCAGATGTCTGACAGGTTGGGAGTTATATTTCCCTTGTATCATATTAAGAGTTTCTGATATACCATCGCTGTATCAATATAACTACAAAGTCCTCAGGGTGGTGCGACCATCATCTCAGCCTGGTGGGGGTCGTAAATTGGAGTCCAGGTTGGGCCATTTAGCGGGACTTATCTCAATTAAAAAAGGCTGAGGATGTAGTAGCTTTTTGCAAAGATCCTGGGTTGAATCCCCAGTTCGTAATTTTTTCCTATTTTATTTTTAATCCTTTGTACTGTGCTCTTTAAATAAAAAGACTGTAATGCAATAAAACAAAATTATTGGGTGTATGCCTCAGTCCATGCAGCTCAATATTATACAGAAAAAAATTCTCAAGTTTCTTCGATCTTAACCCAATTTTTGCCGGGGGTGGTGGCACATGCCTGTAATCCCAGCACTTGTGAGGCAGAAGCATGAAGATTCACCGCCCCCCACACAATTCAAACAAAAACAATCCAATTTTTTTCTCCCAGGCCCAAACTTCCCAAGAGAGATTCATGGGCGGGCACTGACGGTTTCGCTTCTTCTCATTGGTCCTTCTCTTAGACTCCGCCCACGGGTGCACCAATCGGCTCCTTAGTTGTGGCTTAAACCTCGGCGGCGGCGTCGCTGGACCCAGCGTCTGGTTGAGTCTGGCTGTTGGACCTGGCGGTTGAAGTTGCGGGTCGCGCGGGTGGGCGGGGAGCGCGGTGTGGTGGGGTTCGGGCTTCTCCGTAGTCCCGGCTCAGAGCCGCGGGGTGCCAGCTCTGCCCTCCTGCCTGCTCTGCCGGGCCTTGGAGCTCTGACTGGCGGGGTCGCTGCAGAGTCAGGTTGAGCTCTGTACGCTGTGGGCTCAGGGTGCGGGTTTGTGTGGCTGCCCGTGGCGTGGAAAGTTCGGTCTGTGCTGTAGCTTCTCTCCTCTTCCCCAGCCCCGGTGTCTGATTTACACTCCCTTCCCGCGGTGCAGTCCAGGATGGCGACTCGGATCTTTGTCGATAAGGAAAACGGAGAACTAGGCGCCCGTGGGGCCCCTAAGGATGGGCTGAAGCTGGGGTCCCGGCCTGGTGAGTGCGCGGCCTGCAAACGGATCCACGCGGTTGTGGATGAATCGCGGGCGTGGCTTGGAGCCTGGCCAATATTTGGTGCATTTTTGAAGACAGAGTCAGGTTTATCTTTGCACGCTCAGTGTGTTAATGAGGTGCTTTAAAGTGGTGAACTGGCTGTGTGAGGTGGGGCACGTCTGTAATCCAACATTCGGGAGGATGAGGCAGGAGGATCGCTGCGAGTTCCAGACTAGCCTGGGCTAGAAAGTGAGCTCAAGGCCAGCCTAAACTGCATAGTGAGACTCTGAAAAAGACAAAAAGAAAAAAAAAAGTAGTGAACTACTTTACTGCAGCGGGTCAGGTTTGGGGGTGAGGTTAGGTGAAGTTCATGCGCACAGATAGCATTTGAGTTGCAGAGCTGTGGACTGGCCTAATGTTCTCAGAGTCCTACTGTTTCCTCAGCAGTCAAGGCCTTAGATGGGAGATTACAGGTTTCAACGCCGCACGTTGGTAAAATGTTCAATGCTCCACAAGCCTTACCTAAAACTGGCAGAAAGGCTTTGGGAACAGTCAACAGAGCTACAGAAAAATCAGTGAAGAATAATGGACCACTCGGACAAAAACCAAACTTCTCTGCCAAAAAGGTAAGTGTTGGCTATGAAGACACTGTTTAAACACTTCAGCATTGTGACTTTTTTTGGTCTTTTGAGACGGGATCTCTCACTCCTGCCTCAGCCTCCCAGTGCTGAGATTATAGGCTTGTGCTACCAAGCCTGGCTGTGCTTTTTGACTCATTTAAAAATCATTATTGGTGTCTTGCCTGACTGTACTCCTTGAGTTAAAGGGAAATGGGTGTTAGTAAACAAAGGTGGGCAGAGAATTGTATTCGGTCTTTTCTGTAACTCAAGATTGGAAATTTTGGAAGTAGTTAATGTTTAATTTTGCCTCACCTGCCCTTAACTAGAACCTAAAAGCAGATTGGTGGGTTGTATCTGTTTACGAATAAGTAAAATCCCAAGAAAGGATGACTGCAAGAGTTTGTGCTGCTGATATTATTGAGGCACCACCTCCTCCCCTTCCTTGCACAGAAAGTGGGGAGCTTGTTAATGACAGTTTGCTAGCATCCTCCTTTCTGTTAGTGTAGTCAGTTACAGGTCTGTGTATCCCAGGTAAAGACATTAGCCTATGGTTAACACCTTGAGTATTTTGTTTAGCGTATATTGATTAACTGTACGTCAAACCCCTGTCTTTTATGTAGCACAGCATAGGACAGGATGTATTTGGTAAAAAGTGAATGGAATTAAAGAAAAATGTTAAATACAGATGTTAGAACGATATGGGAAAAATGAAGATGTTGCCTGGAAACACTTCAGTTTCCCATGTTGTGGGAAACTGCTTGAGATTTCCTCTTAAGTATGCATGAGGGAAGCAAGAGGAATCCAAGACTCTTTGGGCTTCGTTTTGGCCTATGACAATGGATCAGAAGTCCCTGAATGTCTTTAGTTGCTTCTTAACTCTGAGGAACACAAACTTGTTAATGCTAACCAAGCAAATACAGAAATTAAGGTAGTACAGGTGGAAAATTCACACTTCTATAAACCAAAAATGGCTTTGAGGATTAGCTACTATTCTGGGCAACTCATGTCCACTTACTCATCTGTTAGGTTCGAACAATTGAATTGATTAGCTCTGAATGAACTCTGTTCACCATTCTTTTTTTTTTTTTTTTTTTTTTTTGTCTTTTTCATTTTTTTATCGGTACCAGGGATCGAACTCACGACCGCCTGCTTGCAAGGCAGGTGCTTACGCTGCTGAGCTAAATCCCCAGTCCCCATGTTTACCATTCTTGATAATGCAGGCTGACAGGTGCTAATACTTAAGTTTCTGACTTGCATTTTGAGCCAAACTACTAGAAATCCGTTTATTTTATATATGAATTTTTAAGTATAATCTTGAGAACTAAGAATTATGGCTTCTTAGAGGACGATATAAAATTGAAAAATTTTAATTCATGGTGAAGGTACTGTGTGTTGGAAGGGGACCTGCAGTGTATTGTTTTCATTTGATGAAGCTGCGATTCTCACTGATCTGTATTTTCTTGGATGTTCTAGGTGACTGAGAAGACTGTTAAAACACAAAGCTCTGTTCCTGCCTCTGATGATGCCTATCCAGAAATAGAAAAATTCTTTCCCTTCAATCCTCTAGGTAGTATCTTTTGATATAGCAAAATACGCTTTTGACCTCTAGTGTCTTGTGGAATTCAGCTCAGCTGCTTCTTGAATATACTATATAACCCCAAACTACAGTGAGACTGTCTCGTTGACTGTACCCAGTATGATCAGAAAATACAGTGAATTTTAAAAATTAACAAAAGCTGATAGTAAAAGACACATTGCTATCACTATGCTTTAAAATGATTTAAACACATTTATCCAATCTTTCTTGGCACTTTGTGAAGCAGTTTGGAAGCCCCCTTCCGCGTCTTTAGTTGTGCTGTCTTGGCTGTGGTGTCCAGAACTGACTCAAATGCTTACCTTTCGGGGTCATTTTGAGTTTGGGGAAGAGCCAGAAGTAGCACGGCACAAAGTCTGACGAATGAGCTGGAGGAGGACACACTGTGTTGCCGGAAACCTTTTAAATTGCTTCAGACATTCAGGTAGCTGTGAAAAGTCAGGGAAGAATACTTGCAGAACTGCTTCAGAAAGAGGGTGGCAAGAAAGACTGAATAAATGAAGTGAGGGGCGGGGGGAGCACCTGGGGGGGTGAGGTATAATGGTTATGAGTAATAAAATTTAAGAAATGTAAATGGTTATATTTTTGGCTCACACCTTGTGCTTGTTCAGGTGGAATCGTTTGTAAGTTATCCAGTGAGGTCAGGAGGGGATGAAAAGTGTGGAACTCCGCCGTTCCTGTCCTCAAAAGCTTTGCAAAGGGAGAGGAGTATGGACTGTCACTGAATAAGCCTCAGTGTGGGCGTCTTTTGAAGGATATGGTCTCCTTTATAAAATCAGTGGCTTTTAGGTCGTGTAGTCACATATTGTTCAATTTCTCTTTGGTTTCTGGGCTTTCTTAGGCTTGAAAAGAATAGAATAATTCTGGGTTTTAGAGTACCTTGACTTTGAAGGACAAAGATGCTTTAAAAGAGAAACACTCAAATCATACTGTATTCTTTTTTGAGAGAGGGTCTCACTCTGCAGTTCCAGCTGGTCTGAATTCATTGTGTATCCTCGACTGGCCTCCAACTCATGGTGAACCTCTTACCTCCTGAATGCTGGGATTACAGGCAACTACACCTGGCTCAAAACATATTTAAATCGTGCTTTTGTTACTATCAAGGCAAATCAGTTGTTTTAAATCCTAAAAATTAAGGTACCTATGCTTTAAACAGTTAATAATCTTGCAGTATTTCTGACATTTTTTGATCTGGGGACACTTTTATACTCTTAAAAAATTATTAAAGACCCCAAAGAGTTTTTTTTTTTTTTTTTTTTTTTTTGTCTTTTTCGTTTTTACCGGTACCAGGGATTGAACTCACGACTGCCTGCTTGCAAGGCAGGCGCTTATGCCGCTAAGCTAAATCCCCAGCCCAGCCCCCCCAAAGAGTTTTTGCTGTTTATTTCTCCTGAATTGTTCTGTTCTGTTTATTTCTCCTGAATTAGAAATTAAAATTGAGAAATTCTAAGAATATTCCTTAAATAATAAGTTCAATGTTAATATAAATAATTTTTTTTTCTTATGAAAAATAACTTTTCTGAACCAAAAGTATCAGTGATAGGAAGAATGGGATGGTTTACAAGATGTGATAAAAAGGTACTGTGAGCATTTAAATTTAAAAATTGTTATAGTAAAAGATAACCATCAGTCCCCCTTGGAATACTCAAAATATTCCCCTTGCTTTGAATATACTTATCCTATCATTCTTGGCAATGTGTCTTTTACTGTAATAAATTTTAAAAAATTGAAACATGTACCCAAACTGGTGGCAAACGCTGTAATCCCAGCATTTGGGAGGCTGAGGCAGGAGGATTGGTGCAAGTTCAAGGCCAGTCAGAACTACATAGTGAGACTCTGCCTCAAAACCACTGTAAACATTTACTTTATCTTTATGTCCTTACCTTACCTGGTATATTTGAAAATTTGCTTTATTTGGCCAAATGTAAGACAACTGGGTTCTTGTCAAAAATATGTTCTCTGTGTTACATCTGGTTTGGTTGAAGCAAGTAGGGAAGATGCCTTGCACTCATGCAGATGTGCAGTTAGGAAAGGGGGGCGGTATTTAGTTTTTTCTGAGTGGGAGTTTTCTTTGGTACGACACTAAAACTCAACAAGCAGCCACGTATAAACATTTGTAGCGTGGAATCTGAAATCATATGAATGAACATTATGTTTTCTGATAGTAAAATCCTTTGGTCTGTTATGCATTTGAACTGTGTTTTATCCTTGAATTTATCCTGTGTTGATCACTTAGAAATAGTGGAGATCTAGATGTCCAAATGTGGAAACTTATCCTTAGGTAACTTCATCACGCCTGATCTCGTCAGAGAAGTTTGAGCTAGTGATTGCAAGATAAGTTTTTCAAACTCGGGTCAAGTTATCCCTGTTTTCCATAATTCTTAATATTTTGCAGCACTTTAATTCTCATTGGCAGCAAAGAATTGGTTTTCTTTGAAATGATAGACTTTATTCCTTTGTGAAACTGACAGATACCCACATCTGTGCGGCCATAGCTTATCTTTCCGCTGTCCTTTCAAATGAAAACTGTTCCTGGGAGAAAATTCTAATAAAATCTCACAGCTCAGATAATTACCTGAACCCTTTTTCTTTGAGATGATTATTATTCTGTGGTAAGCAGCAGAAGGGTGCTTTCTGGTTTATGGCATGCTGCTTTTATCACTGAGAGTCTACTTGTTACAGTGTATGATAAAGTGACATTGCCATTTATTTATTTCTTACTACCAGTGAACACTGAAGAGTGGAGGAACTGCTTATTGGTCTTGGTCATTGCTATTGCCTTGATTTGTGTTAAGGCACAGCAGTTCTCTCCACCATTGTTTTTGTATCGTTGCTGATGTCAACATGATGGAAAAATGTATTACGATTATTAAGAAGCCAGGTATGGTGGCACAGCCTATAATTTGTGCACTTGGGGAGGCTGAGGCAGGAGGATGAAAAGTTTGAACCGAGCCTGGACACCTGAGTGACTTAGTGAGACCTTGTCTCAAAAATTAAAAAAAAAGAATAGGTGATGTAGCTCAGGGTGAAGGTCCTGGGTACCACAAAAACAAATAATGCTACTTGGATTCTCCAAAGGGTTTCAGACCTGCTGACCCTGCCAGGAACCATTGTCCTGACAAGATGTTATCCCTCTGTGGTAGATTTTGAGAGCTTCGACCTGCCTGAGGAGCATCAGATCGCACAGCTGCCCTTGAGCGGGGTGCCTCTCATGGTCCTGGAGGAGGAGAGGGGGCTGGAGAGGCTCCTGCAGCTGGGCCCCCCTTCCCCGGTGAAGATGCCTTCCCCGTGGGGACCTGGTAAGGAACAGGCCTGGTGAGGGCTGCAGACTGCCTGCTTCCCAGCACTGCGCTGCCTGGTGCTGTGGGGATGGAGCTGAGTGGGGAAGGTTAGCCTCGGAGGAATTTCTTCCTTTGAAATATGGGAAAGAAGTTTCAGAGGAATAAGAACTTTGGTTGGTACTGGGTTTTAGTACCAAAGGCCTTTCTTGGTAAAGTGATTCTGAGATCTGCTCAGAGTTAAGTAGAATGTAACAAGAAGAGACTAAACGTAACATACAATTTCTTAGGCCTTAAATTGAAGTGTATGGTCAGCTTGCATAGAATGTGAGCTCCAAGTTCCCATATATCCACAGTAGTAGAGGCTCAGGATATTTGTGCTGTAGCATAGAATGATAGTCCACCTTGCCAGCACTTTGAGGTCTTTGATGATTAAAAGCCATCATCAGCTGGACAATGAATACTTTTGTAATCCCAGCCACTCAAGGGGCTGAGTCAGGAGGGTTACAAGTCTGACACCAACGCGGACCACTTCGCATGACTCTGACTCAAACAGTGAAAGGTCTGGAAATTTAGCTCAGTGCAGAGCTTTGGATGCAATCCCAGTAGTACGAATAAAACTCAGTATGCCCCCTCCAGCCCCAAGAAGTTCATCAGCGTGCTTCCAATTGGTTAATGACACTATTGGTTCTTAGAGGTTTAGATACTTCTTCTAAGACTTCCTGATACAGTTCAGTCCTGGGACCACAGCTGTGTTTTCAGAAGTGTGAAAAGCGGTTGGGGGTTAGGATTCATTAGACAGAGGAAAAATGTGAACTTACGGTTAAAAGCTAATGTCTGCATTGTTATAGACAATGACTCAGGTTTGCAGGAGTGTAATAAGAAATCTCTCTTTTTCCAGATCCGTTGCAGTCTTCCAGCGTTTTTCCCATCCTGGATGTTGAATTACCACCTGCTTGTTATGACATAGATATTTAAATTTCTTAGTGGCTTGTAGTTTGTGTGAATTTGTATAAATAAAGCATTTCTGTTTAACGGACTGTTCCTAATATTGTGGTTGGGGTTCCTTGGAATTTATTTAAAGCAGTATGAAAATTAGCTGAAGTGTTTAACAGATCAGAGTCTGTACTGTGACAGTGAGGGTTTGTAAAAACTTACTTTAAAATTCCACAGTTTAACAGCTTACTTTGGAAGCTGCCACTGTTTGCCCCGAAGAGTGTACCCTTTACTATGTACTTATTATCTCTTTGTGCCATTAACTAGTGACAGTTATTAGATTGTTTAATTAGAGGACCCACTTGTAGCTCATTAAGTATTTATTGTGAGGCTTTTTTATTGCTGGTTCTGTTGAGTTCCTAATGAGTTTAGTACTTAGTATTCTGTAATCAGAATTGGAAAGGCTCTAAATCTTCTGAGAACTCAACCTCTCTGAGATCTTCAGTTAGGTATTTGGAGATCACTACAGATAATTTACTAATCTGGCACTGTCTTTAGGAAATATATTCAGTGCTTTATCTCGTGTTGGTCATTAGTACTTTATAAGCATTACTGTTTAGTGCCTGTGACTTTTTTTTTAGATGAAGACAGTGACTCAGAACACTCAGAAGCTCGTTGATTTGCTTAAGGCGTGCTATTTTGTTGCTGACCAAGCTCTATTTTGCCCACCACACAGTATGCTTCTGAATTGATGTATTTTGCTCACTGAATTGATGTATTTTGCAGAAGGTTTTATTTATAAGGTGCCAGTCCTGAGAGAGAGGAACCACAAGTATCAAATCCATTTCTTCCAGGATAGAGAATAAAGGCATTTCTCGGGTGCAGACGGGTGGTAAGAGGCATGCACAGAGGTGACTGAGGAGGAGAAGATGAAGCAGTCAGTGATAATGTGAACTTTTATCATTCTTTGTAGGATGTGTTCTGAAAAAGGCAGTATTGGCATGATCTGAGAGTGGCCCTGTGAGGGTCTGCATCCCACACAATGCAGGCACAGGCAAAGGGCTGGAGGTCTCAGTGGATTCGAGATACGATATAATCAGACTCTAGGTTTCTTAGTGATTATCTCTTCCTGTTGGATTGTTCCTTTTACAAGGGTGTAGTGAACTTTTTGTCTTTCTTTACTCAGTCTTTGCTTGAAATCCACTTTGTCTGCAGATACAATAGCTGCGTTGGACTTTTCTGGGTTCCTGTCACATGGAGTATTATTTTCCATCCTTTGACTTTCAGTCTGAGTTTCTTTTTGGATTAAATGTGTTTCTGGTATGCAGCATATTGTTGGATTTTGCTTCTTGACCCATTATGTTTCCCTTGTGTGGTGGATTCATTCTGTTGGGATTCATGGAATTGTAGCCTTTGTTATCTCTAGAATGTCCTTCAGAATGTTTTGGAATGATGGTTTGGTGTTCATGAATTTCTTTAAATGTTCTTTGTCATGGAAGTATCTTATTTCTCTATCAGTTTTGAAAGGTAGTTTTGTTGGGTACATCGGTCTGAATTGGAGGTTATTTATTTATTTATTTTTTTAGGGCTTGAAATACTTCAAGCACTCCTTGGCTTGAGGGTTTGTGTTAAGAAGTCTGCTGTGATTCTGATGGTCTTTCCTTTATACGTGTTTTGTTTCTTTAACAGCTTTTAATATTCTTGGGTTGAATTTCTATAATCTTGACTATGATATAGCTATGATACGCTTTGCTATAGAACTTCTTTGGATCATGGCTAATTGGAATTCTCTTTGTTTCACTTATCAATATGTCAAATTATTTTTCTGGGCCAGGGGAGTGTTCTGCCATGATGTCTGTAAATAGTTTAAAAAAAAATCATTTGTGCTATCTCTTGCTTTTTCATTGACTTCAGCCAATCTTATTCGTCTTTGCATCATCTAGCAGCTGCTAGATTGATTTCTCGTGGTCTCTTGCTATTATTGAGAAATTTTTCTTTTCCTGATTGCTAGCTACAAGCCTGCCTTTTATATCTGAGAATCTGTCCTCACATTTTCTCATTCTGCTTTGCATACTTTCAGTGGAATTTTTTTTTTTTTTTTTGTACCAGGGATCAAACTCATGACAAGCTTGCCAAGCAGGTGCTTACACCACTGAGCTAAATCCCCAGCCCTCAGTGGAATTTTTAGTCTCCTGGATATCTGCTTGAATCTGTTGTCTAGATTCCATTTCTTTCCTATGTTGGACATTCAGGGTTTCTATCATTAAGCTCTTTTTTTTATCTGCTTTGAAGTCACTAAGCATGGTTTTCATTGTGGTCACCATCTCTCTAGTTAGCTGAGAAATTGTTGTTTTTTTTTTCTAGATCTTCATTTGTCTGCTTTGTTACCACTGCAGAAAGGCCAGGTGGGTGGCTTTTGGATTGTTCCACATCATTGGCCCTTGGATTTGCCTTTGGTGAACAAATGTTCTGGGGTTGTATCTTGTTTAAGTGTCTGTCTATTATATTTTCTTTCTTTCTTTTTTTCTTTCCTTTTCTCTCTCTCTCTTTCTTTCTTTCTTTCTTTTTTTCTGTTTAATTCCTGGGTTGATGCTTGTGAATTGCCTATGAGTTGCTTTATTGCTAGTATTTAGCACACTTGGGAAATAACTATTTCTCAGAGGTTTTTTTCCAGGAGTAATTGGTTTTGGGGTTTTGAGTCTGTTGCAAGATCCTACATCATCAATTTATTGGAAATGGAGAGTAACTGCCTGCTTGGCCCAGACCCTGGTTCACAGTGATTCCTGTGACCTTTAGGCAATCTCAGTTTTGGTATACCAGGAAGAGCAGCTGGTTAGAACAATTTCGTCACTTTGGCTAACGTGGTACAATCAGCAATAACAGCATCAAACACAGCCTAGAAAATGAAAACTGAAGTAATAATTAATTTGCCACCTTTAACCATATGAACTAGATCATGGTTATGTAACAACCCAAAACAAGAAAATTGTATGCAGTAGGCAAGCCCCCAATGTGCCAATTTTACCCTCAGGAGAAAATATGAAAGGGATTAGGGGGAAAAATAGAGGAAGAGATTAGAAGCAAGGCTGGAAGAAAAAATCATGCAAACTTTGGGAAACTGGTATAGAAGACAGAAAGAGAACGAAATGGAAGAAACAACCATCACAAGACCAGAAACCATGTACACACTCATAAAGACAGGATAAATAAGGAAAAAAGTCCCCGCTGTCACTGGTGGACTAGAGTCCAGATCTGGGTTGATTTATCCCAGCAAGCCCACAGTAGCTTTATGGCGGAATAGTGGATAATCTCAGTGAGCAGCACCTTTATTATCCCCTGAGGTTCACTCTAGTTTCTGGCCATGAGGCTGGGACCAGCCCATTTAGCAGCCAGCAGTCAGTGCATCTTCTACAGGCTTAATGTAGTTGTTGGATAGGAGGAAAAAGTTGGGGGCAGTTCAGAGTTCTCTAATCTTACAAGCCTCAAAGAAAAAAAAGTACAAAGTGGTTTAAAAAATCAGATCAGAGCAAACCAGTGTCCTTATGCTCATGGTGAGTTATTGAAACCACTTGTTCATGAGTCCTCACTCTCAGTCTAGAGAGGTGAGGATGAGGAATCTCAAGAGCTAAGTTGTCTCCTCACCAGTGGAAGATCAGACCAAAAAGGAAACTGGTAGAACAGACTTAACATTTCCCCTAGAGGAAATGTAGGGGAGGATCGGGGCCAGTCTGTCCAGGAAGACCTGTCTCCTAATTCTCCCAAGTCTTGAGAACTGCGTCTGGCCTACTGCCTTTTAATTGAGAGTTGGGGTCTTGTGATTTACCAGTAGGCATGTATATTTTCTAAACAAACTGGATTTCATAGGAAGATCATTTTATAGCATTTCATATCAAAACCCACAATGGGGAGCGCTAAGCACTCCTTTCCCTAGCACTGCTATCTAAACAAATTATAGCTGTCCAACAAGGAACACTGTTAAGTTCAGGCACTAGTGCAAATGTAACATACAAAACAGGAATAAAATGTCCCATTAAAGAAGCATTGTAGCTTTTCCATGTTTTAAATTTAAATTTATCATTTTAACAAAGTTATATAAGAAAGCATGAGCAATTATAAGCAATGGACAAAGACAAAATTTTGAAGCATAAAAACTTGGATCTGTGAAATAAAAGCAAACTTTTACCTCCATCCAGTTAGCTTGGTGGAAGATCTCCAAATTATATAGGGGAAGGACGCTCTCAAACTGCTAGATATCTGAAATAGTTCATGTTCTCTAAAATTGAGGACTGAATTCAGGAACAATGGAGGTTAAGAGTAGGGAGAATTTAATGAAAGGAAGAAAACCTTCTAAGATGAAAGGAGGCCTGGAAAGTGAACATTTTCTTCCCAACATCTGTCACCGTTTTAGTCTTTACCCTTTTGGTTTCTTGTACAAAGAAATAATGCCATATTTACACATGTGCATCTGATTTCAGTTAGAAGTATGGTCTCGGTGTATCCATTTTCTTAGAAATGTCTCAGGCTTACCTTTTAATGCAGAGTAGTAGTCCATTCTCTATAAAAACACATCTTCCTTATCCATTCATCAGTTGATGGGCATTTGGGCTGTTTCCAAGATTTAGCTATTATAAATTGTGCTACTATAAACATGGATTTGTATATATCAGTATGATATGATGATTTTGATCCTTTGGGGAAGATATCAAGAAGGGGAAGAGCTGGATCAAAAGAAACCACTTTTAAGAAATTTCCACACTGATTTCCATATGTACCAATTTACAGTCCCACCAACAGTGGAGAAGGCTTCCCTTTTCCCCACAGCCCCACCAGCATTTTTATTTTTCTTTCTGAGACAGGGTCTTGCTATGCAGTTCAGGCTGGCCTTGAGCTCCCTTTGTAGCCCAGGCTAGTCTCGAACTCACATCGATCCTCCTGCCTCGGCCTCCCGAGTGCTGGGATTATAGGTGTGAGCCACCACGCCCGGCTCCCCGCCAGCATTTGTTACTGGATGACTTCTTGTTAGTCGACATTCCATCGGGAGAGAGATGCAATCTCAGTTATACCTTCAGGTTATAGACTAACACCTTTCTCCCCATGCC